CACACACACACACACACACACACACACACACACACACACACACAGTCTGAGAATCTGAAGGGTTATAAAATGATAAAGACAAGATTGTGAAATTAATGATTCAAATTGGCCTGTACAATTTTAGATCAGTTTTTGCTGCCTCCAGTATTTCTTTCATACTCCTTGCCATTTACAGGTCTTCTGAAAATATGATCACATCTTATTCTCTTCACTCCCCCGTTCTCCCTCACATACATAATCTTTGCTGATTTCAGTTGTCTACAAGGGAAAATGTAAACTTCTTATACAAGGTCCTTTGCGATATGATCCTAGCTTATCATTCTTGACACACATATCATCTCATTCTTCTTCTTAAATAACAGCTACATGAAATTTTCTGAACCTTTTATTTTATGTTTCTCCTAGAATATCTAGTTAAATTTGAATTTCAGGTAAGCATTATTACACGGGAGCATATTATTACTTATGTTTGTTTATATTGATCCATATTTGTTTTTTATCTGAAATTTGAACTTAACTCAGTGCTCTTTATTTTTCTTTTTTAGTATTTATTTTTTAGTTTTAGTTGGATACAATACCTTTATTTTTTTAATTTATTTTTATGTGGTACTGAGGATCGAACCGAGGATCGAACCCAGGGCCTTTCACGCACGAGGCAAGTGCTCCACCTCTGAGCCATAACACCAGCCCCTGTCCTTTATTTTTATTTGCTAAATCTGGTCATATTATATTGCATGTGTGTATTGCACATGCTGTTTCCTCTGAGCAGAATGTCGTCTTCTTGTCCCTCCTCCCCTGCTTTTCTCAGTATTTGGGATTAAATGCAGGCACACCATACATCATACCAATGGGACACACTTCTAACCCTTTTTAAATTTTATATTGAGACAGAGTCTTGTCAATTTCCCCAGGCTGGACTTGAAATTACGATCCTCTTGGCTTAAGCTTCCTGATTTGCTGGGATTACAAACGTGCACCACCACACCCAGCTCTTCTTCCCTTTTGATGGAAAAGAACTGCCAGTTATTTTCTAAGACCTGAGTCTACTTATCACACTTGGAATATATCATTATTGTATAATTACTGCACTGAGTAAATTTCAGAGCTGATGTTTAGAAGTTTTTATATTTGCATTTAAAATTCTCTGTATGGGGAAGAATTTTTCATACACAAAGCCTCAGACAGTTCGTGCCTAAACTAATCTGTTGATAATTAGTGCTAAAAAAAATACCAGGTCGGTCATTTTTATACTGATTGAGAGTACTCATTTCTGCCCCTACACTGAGGAGGAAACTTTGGAAATGCTCTTTTCAGAATCTTGAAGAGTCTTTAAAAGACTGTTTATTTTAATATAATATTAATATTAATATGCTTTAAGATATTTTTTTCTAGCATTTATTCACAGAACAATGAAAAACATACATTACCTTTTTTATATTATTGCTGTTTTGAAGGTGAAAATGGTTCTTGCCAAATTGTATGAGAATAAGAAAATAGCTAGTGCCACCCACAACATTTATGCCTATAGGTAAGTGATTATCACAATTTTTGGAATATGCAATTTGTAAACAAGGGTTATATGTGTTTTTTTCCATTATAATAGTAATAGCTATGTGGAATATTTGGAAACTGCAGAATAGGGGGGAGGGAAGAATTGGAGGGAAAATCTAGCATTTTCTGACTTTAAATATCAACTGTAGTTTTATATATTTTCTATGCAAACAATTTTTTTCAGTGGTTTACCCTTATGTTCTTTATTCTTAATTTAACAAAAGCATCCTCCCAGGTTGTTAGAACTACTTGATAAATACTCTTTCAATTACTGTTATTTATTTGAGGCTCCGTACCACAATTTATTAAAACATTTCTTTTTTGCTTTAGCTTTTCATATTTTCCAACGTTATAAATAATAGTACGTGAACTTTTTTTTTTTAGTGAAATGGGGCTATAATTAGAAAAAAAAGTCATATTCTTTTTTTTTTTTAACTGAATTTTATTTATTTATTTGTTTATTTTTGGTGGTGCTGGGGATTGAACCAGGGCCTTGTGCATAAGAATAAATTCTTAAAGAGTAGAATTATTAAAAAGCATGAACATTTTTGAAACTTCACTCATATTGCTAAATTTTTTCCAAAGGTGGTTTTCCAAAGTTTACGCTCCTGTGAGCAGTGGATTAAGAGTGCTTCTTTTACCACATTTAGTTTTGAATACTAATGTATACAAATCTGCTGATTTGTAAATGAAGACATAAAGGGTATATTTTTTAATATGCAACATAAGACAACTTAAGGACATAGTTTAGGCCTAAAATAAAAGAATATAAATACAGGGATTTGGTGCAAAATTAAAATTCGATTGAGACCTATTTGTAAAACCTAGGCTCTTCAAAACTCACATTGAAAAGTAGCACTTTGGAGATGTGAGATTTTAATCATTTATTTATTTTTTGTGGTGCTAAATGCATATTAGTTATATACTTTTCTTCTAAACAGTATTACTGAACAGAATTTTAATGTATTCTTAATGATTTAAGGCCATTGGTGTGAAAATGAAGGATTAAACTTTGCTCTCAGTGGTTTGTGCTGTAAAAATTATTAATAATAGTTACCATTTGTTAATTCCACATGCTTATTTAGTGCACACTTAACAGTTTATGTAAATTAATTATGTTTATTTCAGCAATTGTACCAAATATTATCTTTTTAAAGATCCTATTGTTACATGATTAATAATTAAAATAAATATAATTCAATTTTACTTCTTTTTATTTTATTCCTATGTGGCTTCAACAACCTTGTACATAATGTTGACCCAAGTTATCAAAAAAGAAAGCTAAATTATGTGCTGACTATTCTATTTCAGGCCCCAGTTTTCTGATTATTTCTTCCTCAGCCTCCCTTCTGTAATTGATTTTTGGAAATGAAAGAACTGAGCTTGTCAGGATTGTGTATCACTAAAAAGACACTAAGTGGAGGCTTGGGGAACCCATTGGGAGTAGAAACAATGAACTTTTTTGACTTTGAGTTGTATATTTTGAATGCATAGGGTCCTTTTAAGACGTTACTGCCTGGTACTGGGCTGTGTTCCTTTTGTAGTTGTGGGGCGTTCTTCAGGCTACTGTACACACAGCTGTTGGATGCTGTGTCATCATCTTCCTGGCATGTGAGGAAAGGGTTAGTGAAAATTTCTATAGATCCTTTTTTCCCTATAATCTAACAGTACTGATTTAAATAGTCAAATTTTTCTTCATTTGTTCCATAAAAATAATGGGATTAGATTATAATTGCAAATCTAATCTAAACCAACCCCTGGCTTCTTTTCGTCATTCTTAAATTTGTCATATAAATTTTTGTTTAATAGTACTAATTCACTTTTCCTTATATGAGGTCAACTGTGAATAAAAATAGAGCCTGCTCATAGTAAGTAGTCAGTATTTTTGGATGAATAAATGAATGGATGAATAGATAAATGGATGGAAGGATGAATGAATGAATATTATTACTGTAATATATGATTAATATAACTGAATTATGTATGTAGATGAGCTTTTATAGCTTTTTATGTTTATTTTAAAAGTCTCCAACATTTTATGACTGTAGTTGGGCAGGTATCTTTACCACATTAGTCATTTTACATGATATCATTGTAGGGGTCTAAAAAATCCACTAGATGGCAGACCTAAACTGGTGCTACACAAGCACACACTAATAAATATGTTATATATTTTATATTTAATATGCTTATTTGTTAACTCTAAATATAAAACAATATAAAAGATACAAATAATGTATTTATATTTATGTATATTTACCTGTAACACTTATTTGACAAGCTTATTCTACTAATAATGATGTTACTCTGCATCATTATTCTGAATAACTTTTCCAGTGACTTAAATGATAAAAATACCATGATTATCTCTAATATTGATAAGCATCCTGGAAGATGCTTATCAATATTAGATAATTTAATTCCTACTTAGAAAGGGGAAAAGAAAGAAATGATTGATGGATGGAATGAGAGGAAAATATGAAATATTGACTTATGGTTGTATTAATCTTATGTGATTTTTGTTTCACTGAATCTTAGGCTTTTTGAAGATAGGAGTATGCTGTTATTTTTTTATACCATTTTGTAGTGATTATCATTATATTTCTATATAGTATATTCTTAAATATTTTTCAGGGAATGCTCTTTATTACTTATAGATTTGATATTAAGGGAAATGTCGTATGTAGATTAAATTTCCCATAAAAGCAGCATCTCTGATATACAGGAGACACCTTTGACTCTTAGTTTTTCTAAATATATATATTTTTTAAAAAGGTGAAACATACTGGATCGTAAATTGTCCATGAATTTTCAAGAACAATTTTTTAAAACAAAAATTTTGGAAGTAATCAAATTGATTACAACAAGTATCAAGTGACTTCTATTATAATACTTTCAGTTTCAGAGTGTAACCTCATTACATGTATTTCTAGGATATATTGTGAGGATAAACAGACCTTCTTGCAGGACTGTGAGGATGATGGGGAAACAGCAGCTGGCGGGCGTCTTCTCCATCTCATGGAGGTAGGTGTTAAGTTAAACTTTGTGAGACCTATTCTGTACAAGCCATAAAATTTCTCAATAAAAGAGCTCCATTTAGGAATAAATAAATCAGTTAAATGTTATAAATTAATAGTTAATTTTTAAACATCAACTGAAAATTTTAATGATTGGTTATAGGGCAGAAAGCAAATGGTTTATAACCAGTGCTTTGTTTTCAAGGTATAGACAATAGAAGATTTTCTTCAACTTGAAGGAAACACTCTCTCTTTCTCTCTCTCTAGGACAGTTTCCTCTTCTCTTTTCTGTTTTATCTTTGTGGATCTCCTATTAGTTGAATATTAGAACTTCTGTATTAATGGAGAATGTTTCTTTTAAAAAATTAACTTGTCCATCTCATAGTCTTTATGTTCTAAGACATTTTCTTAACTGTCTTTCAAAGTTTCTGTTGAATTAAGAAAAAAATTTTTAGCAACCATGTATTTAATTCTTAAAAGTTTTTCTTGCTCACTATTTTTCTTTTTTCATAGAATCCTGTTCTGGTTTTATGGATGCATTATCTTCTAAATTTCTCTACATATATTAATTAGAGCTTTTTCCCCCAGATGTCCTCACCCTTAAATGTTTCCTGATCCATTTTAGTTTGTTTATCTTGTCCTTTCTCTTTCATGCTGCTGGATTTTCTTCATCTGTCTGGTGATCATTGATTGTGCATTAATTTTAAGAATGGATTGTTTTTTTCCTAAGGTAGTTACTGTGGTTTCTTCTGCTAAAGTATATGGAGCTTTGTTTCTTAACTAAGCCTTTCCCTTGAATAGGAACTCTGTATGTGGGCCTGTACATTGGTGGGCTTCACTTTAAGGGCAGCATTTGACAAATGTCAAACTGATGAAGACTTTATTGGTAGGCATTAGATTACGTGTGCAGCCCATTTTCTCCCAGAACTTGTTCAGAAGCAGACTATTTTATTTTATTTTTTTGTCATTTTGGCCTAGTGGTAAAAAGACTACCTAAAATGTGCTATTGTGGTTGAAGTCATCAGGAATTAAAACTCTGCCTGCATGGTCTCCCCTCCTGTTTACTCTGCCATGTTGCCCCGAAGTTTGGAATTTAAGGACACTGGAACATGGTGTTGGTTTTCCAAATTCCCTTCTATTCCAATGTGTTACCCTTGAATTGTTAGTTATCTTAGTGCATACTCATATGACTCTGCCATTAAGATCACTGGGAAATTTTATGTGCAATTTTATATGTGGGTTATTTCCTTCTTTTTAAAAACACATTTGTACATGTTTATCTGTGTATCTAATTATGCTTCTGGAAATAACAGATTTTGAATGTGAGGAATGTCATGGTGGTAGTATCACGCTGGTATGGAGGGATTCTGCTAGGACCAGATCGCTTCAAACATATCAACAACTGTGCCAGAAACATACTGGTGGAGAAGAACTATACAAGTTCACCTGTAAGTTGTTATTGATATCTATTTTGTTTGTCTCTTTATTGTTGTTGTTGTTATCATTGGGGGTTGAACCCAGGGGCACTTTACCACTGAGTTACATCCCTAGCCCTATTTGCTTTTTATATTGAGACTGGGTCTCACTAAGTTGCTTAGGGCCTTGCTAAGTTGCTGAGGCTGGCCTTGAGCTTGGGATCTTCCTGCCTCTGCCTTCTGACTTGCTGGGATTACAGGTGTGTGTGGTGCTAGGGATCATACCCAGGGCCTTGCATATGCTGGGCAAGCACTGTACCACTGAGCTACATTTCAATCCCCAGTATCTAGTTTCTTAAGAAAATTAAGAATGAATCAGAGTGTGAAGGGTACATTAGTAAAACCTTTAGACTAGGAAACTGGACCCTTAGACCCTAGTCAGAACAGGATAGTCAAATGACCTTGAACAGATCACTTCATCTCTTTGAGTACTGATTTTATAGGTTCATGGAGTTTACATTAGGAAAACTTTTTAACAACCAACTAGTTTTCCACTAAAATTGAGGCCCAAAGAGATTGTAGGTAAATGTCACATGGGACTAGGTGTTCTTTAAACATCTATAAAATTCTAAAATTCTGTTAGTGTCTTCCTTTGCCCTGGGCATGCCTTTAGATACTTTCTTCTTTATACTCTTCAGTTTATTTTGTTTCATGTTTTAAGTGTGTTCGTATCTATTTTATTAAGCTTTATTGCTTTACTTGGGAAAATGGAAATAGATTAAATAATGTTGAAATTATTCAAATATAAATCTACTAAACACTATTTATCTTGATTATCCTTGATGGCCTTGAAAATGCTATAATAAACTAAGTGAAACTGCCCTGTAAGACACACACACACAAAAATCAAAGTAGTTATACCCTCACCATTATATATAGACTATATTTATGATTACATGTAAGCTTTCATCATCATGTGAATGATGCTGCACTGATTTGTGTCTTTTTCAGGAGGAATCCTCTAAGGGTTTGGGAAAGAACAAAAAGGTAAAAAAAGACAAGAAGAGGAATGAACATTAAAACCTGAAACTATATGAAAGGTTAATTTGCCTATAATTATACACACATTCCATAGTCATCAAGGAATATAATGTTCAGAGAGAATATCCTCGACTGCTCAAGACAGTCAATTCATTGTGGACACCAGCATTATCTTTTCCTTCTTGGTTATATCATATGCCAAAAATAGAGAACTTATTTTATATTCATGTATGTTTTAGGCTTATTTGGAAGAATTAATCTGAACTTAATCATCACTTCATCTAATTTTAGGAAGGTAACAGTTGCCCAGGGCAGTACCAGAATTAACTGTCCATTTCAGTACATGACAAGTGCCTTTGTTAGGTGGGGAAGAAATGTCTCCAGAGGAATATAAATACCCGATTTCTTGTCATAGGGATTCTCACATTGTTAAATGAATATTGCCTTTTACTGCTCTTTATGGCTTATTGGAATAGGAGCTCATTGAAGATTGATCTTGGAGAGTTTCTTCTTGTGATTTCAGTTCATAAGTATGTCACTTTTCATTTTATAGTGTTCATCATTGAGTAATTGATTAAGTGAAAATCCAGCAGTATCCATCTGCAGTTATGTGTCAAAGTAATAATTCATCTAACATATTTGTTAGCCTAAGTGTTATGCCTCGATTTCTGTCACAAGTTGGTGATTGTGTAATTTCATGAAGTGATTTTCTAGTTGCAGCCTTTTTTCATTTAATTCTTGTAATGTTAAACAATGAATATGGAGTATCAGTAGGCTCCTTTCATCCCTGAAATGTGTTGATGTAATACTCTGGTTTCTTTTAACAACCCAAAAGTACCTTTCTTGTGATCCTCATTGAAAAATTAGAACCATACTAGAAGCTATACTATGTTTAATGGGACATTTGTATAATGGGATAGAGGTGTCAGAATGACACTGGAGTAAGGCCATGAGTATGTTATAAATTTGATATACATTTCCCATTAGTGCTCCAGCAAGCTTCTCCAGTTCCATGATTTTGTAGAGAGAAGAGGAACAAATCTTTAAGTTGGAAAACAGAATCCTTTTTTTTTTCTATTCTTAGCAAGTCATCCTTTTTAAAAAAATTAATATTTTATGAAAATTACCTCTAGACAGTAAATTTACCTTTGAGATATAAAAAGTTGTGAACTTTTTCCCTTTCAGATATGATTACAATTGTTAACAGTTACTCAGTCCATCACAGATTTGTCTGGCATTCTCCTCCCAAGGGAGAGGACAGAAATTAGGAGGCAATTTTGAAATGGTACTAGAGCATGGAAAACATCAGAGGCTGGACAGATTTCTTTCTTTTTTTCTTTAATATTTCACCTTTAAAAGTGCCAACTCTTACTAGGGATTTCTAGTAATAATCAAGTAAACAACTTTACACTAGGATGAATTTGGAGATATAAAATCTTATTTTTCAACATTATTTAATGTTATGAGTTATCAAGATTCAAAGGATAACTTATATGTATTTGGAGCACTTACCTTGGTTTCCATGAAATGTTAAGTACGTCCTATGTATTAATTGTTAAAATTATTGAAGAAATTAGAGGCTGTTTATTAACATTAAAATAATTTTACAATATTGGTATGTCAAACCTGAAGGGTGAAGAAATAGCAAGCATTTCCTGCAGAATAACAAATCTGAGTTGATTTTAATTTCATTGTTGATATTTTATGTAGCATTTATTTGGGTTTTTACAGAAAACAAAACACCTCTTATGTATTATCTCATTTTCTCTTACTTTAAAAAAATCTTATTTTTGATTAGTTTTACAAAATTACTAACCATATTTTAATGAATAAAAAACCCCCAAATCTCTTTTCCTAAAGTCAGCTGGTAAGAGGAGAGATTCAAAATTCTTCATCATACCCTTCATTAATGGTAGAGTATTTCACAGTCTATCATTAATGAAAACCCTAATAAAATTATGTTTTTATCTCTATTTGAAATTTCTATTAAATAGAGGATTTTTGATTATCCAGGTAATAATTTTCTTAACTAGATCTATGCTAATGTTTTGTAGTCTGTTCTGTTAGTTAAAAATATTCTCCTTATCCCAGTACATAAAAGCAAGTCACATATACTTTTTAAATGGGGATAGCAACAGCTGTACCAAAAGTATGTTCTTGAGGTATGGATCATGAAACAGCCTGTTTAAAGAGAATTATGTCAAACTAATCACAACCAAGAAAGAAAAGCATAAACTGGATACTGTTTGCAGGGCAGGTAAAATTTAATGAGAAAATTGTATAATCACTTCTAATTTCACAATAGAGATAATCATTATAAACATTTGGTATGTACATTTATTATTTTTTCTTATGCATGATTTTGTATATATGGCTATTTTTCTTTCCATAAAATGGTATTAAACTGTATATACTGTTTTGTATCCTACATATTTCATATAGAAGTATATTGTTAACATTTTCCCATGTCAATAAATATTCTTCTATGGCTTAACTTCTTATGGCTGCATTGTATTCTATCTTCTTGGTATGCCATTATATACAAACTAGTCCCCTAGTTATTTCCAGTTTTTAAGTTTTCTCACCTTTTCACTATTAAAAACAAATGTGGAAAACTGCATCATTGTATACAAATTTTTGTATGCATTTCTGATTATGCCCTTATGAAAAACTAGAAATGGAGTTCCTTGTTCAAATGTTTACACATTCTGTTAGCTCTTGATTGGTTTAGCCCAAATTCTCTCTAGAAAAGTTTTATCAATTATAACCCATTAGTATTCTATTAGAATATACTAAAGATTCTATTCAGTAATGTGAGAAAATAGGCACTCTGCTTGGCAAAACTCTTCATATTCATTTTAAAAAATTAATCTTTGTTTTAAAATAATTTTAGACCCATAAGAAGTTGTGAAAATAGTTTCAGGGTCCTATGTAACTGTAACTCAGCTTTCTCTAACAGTAACATTTTGCAAAACTATACTACATTTTCAAGATCAGGAAATATATTCTAGATAAATTTCCTTTGTTAGATACATGATCTATAAATATTTTCTCTTATTTCATGGCTTGTCATTCTCTTAGCAGTTTCTTTTGCAGAGTGAGGTGAGGTTAATTTTGATGAGATTTAATTAATCTTTTTTTTTAATAATCATTCTTTAGATGTCATGTCTAAAGACTGCATAACCCCAGGTAATGAAGATTCTCTTTTCGCTTTTTAAAGTGATACAACTTTTTTTTTTTTCATTTAAATCTACTGTCCACTTTTAGTTTTTATATAGGGGATGAAGTTTATTTTTGCTTGCATATGGATATACAATTATGAAAGTGATTGATTTTTGAAATTGAATGTTTTATTGAGATATTTTCACAAAGTAAACACAGTTATATAACAAATACTTAGAAATCAAGGACAATTTGAGTACCTCCCAATCCTCTTGTTTCTCATCCATTCATTATCTCCTTCCCTTTTTACCAATAATAACTTCTTCCCAGACTTCTGATACCAGAGATTGGTTTTGTCTGTTTTGAGATTCAGCTGGGGACTTGTGGGTAGCAGTAGTTCTTTCATTCTTATCACTGCATTATGTTCCATTGAATGAACAAGACTCAATTAATTTATTCTCTTTAGAGATATTTGGGTTCTGGATTAAAGCTGTTTCAATTAGTGCTACTATGAACATTCTTACATATGAGTTTTGGTGAATATATGTAAACATTTCTATAGGGTATATGCCTAGGAGTGGATTTGCAAGGTCATAGGATATGTGTAGGTAGAGCTTTGGTAAATACTGCCCAGTGGTGTGCTGGTATATTTTGACAACTGGCTCTGGGGTGGGTGCTGATTACTAGTTTCTGAGTGTTATATTCCCATTCTGCATAATTTCAGGCAACCAAAGTGAAGTCAGCTAGCTCACATGATACCTAAATTTTAGCAATTTCTCTGTAAGCTAGTACATATAAACTCCAGCATAGCATTCATATTGGCAAGCAGTTTTCCAAAGTGTTTATACTAGTGGACACTCTTACCAGTGGTAAATGCAAGTTCTAGTCACAATATGTCTATATCTAGTAAAGCCTTTCTTATTTTAATTAAGCTCTTAAGATGTGTGTGCTGGCATCAGTTTATGGTTTTAATTTGTATTTCCCAGATGATTAATAATGTTAAACACCTTTGATTGCTACATTTTATATCTGAACTGAGTTACTAGAAATATTTTTTTTCCCTCTCTTCCAGGAATGAAAAGTTAGAGCTTGTTATCAACTTCAGATCAGATGTAGGGAATTTAATTATACGTTTGCATTTCTGAGGGCCCCCAAACCCATCACCACCCCACTGGTATAATCCAGGAACTTAATCATTTCTTGCCATCACTTTTATAGTTGTAAAAATATGAGTTATACATCTCCCCTAACTAGGATACTAGGATTAAATAAGATGCCTTTTAGGTCTAGGGATGTAGCTTAGTGATAGAGTGCTTGTTTAGCATGTGTGAGGCCCTGGGTTCAATCCCCAGTCAGTAACACACACACATACACACATACATACACACCCACATATACATACAAAAGGTTTCTGTGGTGATTAGCATGTGAAAAGAATTCAATAAAGTCTTTTACTTTTAGATAGGCTATTTCTGAAGATTTTAACAGTACCTAGAATTCTAGGTTGGCATTGGGATTACCAAGATCTTCAGTTTCCTAGGGAGATAATAGTGTACAGTAGTTAAGAATCTGTTGGATTTGAATCCTATATCTACTTTTCTCTAGTCTTGCAAGTTTGGGAAAGTTATGTTTTTCTGTACTGAGATTTAAAAAGCTTATAAAGCAATTGAGTGACTATCATTGATCACACTTGCTTGCAAATTTTATCTTGTCTTTCTCTTTCGTATTGTCATGCTTGGTAGATGTGGTTCACAAAGCAAGACAGAACAAAGTCAGGACTTGAAGCTAAGAGGTAAAATAGCACATGTATCTCAGCCATCCATGGCTTGATATCAAAGGACTACTTAGTTACAGAGAAACAAGGGGGAATTCTGGAATATAAACCAGAGGTTGGCAAGCTTTTTCTGTAATCATTCATATATTAAATGTTTTTGGTTTTATGGGCCATATAGTCACAATTACTCAATTTTGTTATAGGTTGAAAGTAGCCATACACAATATGTAAATGAATATCATAGTTGTATTTCTTTCTGGGGGGTGGATGCCGGGGATTGAACTCAGGGGTACTCAACCACTGAGCCACATCCTCAGTCCTATTTTGTATTTTATTTAGAGACAGGATCTCAGTGAGTTGCTTAGTACCTCACCATTGCTGAGGCTGGCTTTGAACTTGCGATCCTCCTGCCCCTTCCAAGTCACTGGGATTAGAAGCATGCACCACTGTGTCCAGCTCCCCATAGTTGTATTTTAATAAAACTATGGATAATGAATTTTATGTGATGTTCATGTTTTATGAAATATTATTCTTTGGATTTTTCCCCCAACTGTGTAAAAATGTAAAAACCATTCTTGAATCATAAGCCAAACTATGGTCTACACACTATAGTTTGCCAACCCCTTGTATAAACCACGAAAAAGGGAGAGACAGGCTAGAGTTATAGCTCAGTGGTA